ATTGTTTGCCCTTTGTAGTTAACTTTTCATTTTCCCCATGCTGCTTTCAGCATTCTCTTTGTCTTTGGGTTTGGTGAGTTTGATGATGATAGGTCTCAGTGATTTTCTTTTGGGGTCTGTCCTATTTGGTATTCATTAGACTTCTTAAATGGATATATTCTCATCTTTAATCATATCAGGGAAATGCTCTTCCAACTAATCTTGGACAGTTTTCTCTGCGGTTTTCTTTTTCTCTTCCTATTCTGGAATTCCAGTTACACGTAGGTTATTCCTTTGATGGCATCCCACATGAACCTTAGGCTTTCTTCATTTTGTTTTGATCTTTTTTCTGATTTATCCCTTTGCAAAGGAGTATTGAGGTATTTGTCTCCAGTCTCACTAATTCTGTCTTCCATTGATTCAGTTCTACTCCTTTGCCTGTTCAATGTGTTACCTATTTCTGAGAATTTAGTATTGATTTTTTGGATTTCTATGTGTAGATTTTGTATCATTTTCTAATTTTTACTTTATTTTGTTCTTGCAATTTCTTCCAGAATTGTTTTTGGGTTTTCTCTGTGTTTTCCTCAAATTTTTCAGTGTTTTCCTTGATCTGTCTCTCAGTTCATTAAATACCTAAATATGATTCTTCTGAATTCCTTATCAGAAAGCTCCAATGCTGCTTCTCCCTCAGAGATGTGTTCTGGGTCTGTATCCTGCTCCCATGTTTCTACTGCTTTTTCTTGCTTCTTTATGTGGACTGTGATGGTTTGTTGTCTCAGAGACATTGTGATATTTTTGTGTTTGTATATAATTGGTGATTATATGTTGGAGTGATTTACATTTTCTTTGTTTTGTTTGGATGTATCTAAGTAAGCAGGGTACTGTGCTCCTCTATTTGGTAGTTGGCAGAACTTAATATATTCAGCACTTGTCCTCTTTCCAGTGGTCAGCCTCCTGTATGTCCATGCAGTCTTTGGCAAGCGGAGCCTATTCTCAGGTCCCTGGAATCTGAACAAGAATGCTGTCACTTTATATATCTAAAATAGCCACCACTTGGAAACATTCAAAATGGTCGTGCACAGCTGCCACTTGGAAACGTTAAAAATGGCTGCACCCTCCAGACAACCAGAAAGTCCACAGCTCAGTTTGTCTCTTTCTTTGGTATTTCCCTTTTCAGTTGTCGGTCACCTGTGCAGTAGTCTATGCACCCCTTGGTGAGCAGGCCTGATTCCCAGGTTAATTCTCAGGTCCTAACATCAGTTGGAAATATTTAGGCTGTCCATGCCATCAGGAGACCTGACAATCCGCAGCTCTGTTTATCTCCTTACTCACTGCTGTCAAGTTGTTTCCAACTCATAACAACCCCTCCTTGGGTTTCTGAGATGCTATCTATATGGAAGTGGTCTTCCTTCTGAGGAGTGGCTGGTAGGTTTGAACTGCCAGCCATCTGGTTAGCAGTCACATGCCTTAGACACTATGCTACTAGATCGCCACCTGGAAATATTCCCTCTATTCGTGCCGTCAGGATAGCTGACATTCAAAATGGCTGCACCCTCCAGACAGCCAGAAAGTCCACAGCTCCTGTCTCCTTACTCACTGTTTTCATTCACATTCTTCTTCTAGTTGTTCTTTAATCCAGTTATGTATCCTTCCTTTCAAAACTCAGGGCTCCAGGATTATCTTCTGTATCTGTGTCAGTTGGTTTCTCTTTTCTTTGTTAAAGAGGGTCTGTGTAGCCTGTTTATATTCCAGCATCTTACTGGAAGACTCGAATTGCCAAGAAATTTGGAATACATCTACCTAGCCAACCAAGTGGAAGAGATATTTGTGCCCATTCCTTAGAAATGTAAGCCAACAGAATACAGAAATTATTAAATCATGCCATTAATATCACACACAAGTAGAATTTGCTGAAGATAATTCAAAATTGATTGCAGCAATATATTAACAGGGAATTGCCAGAAATTCAAGGCAAATTCAGAGGAAGGCCTGGAATGAGAGGTATCTTTGCTAATGTCAGATGGATCTTGGCTAAATCAAAGAATACCAGAAATATGTTTACCTCTGTTTTATTGGCTATTTAAAGAGTTTTGACTGTGTGGATCATAAGAAATTATGGATAACATTGTGGAGAATGGAAATTCTTTAACACTTAATTGTGCTGATAAGGAACCTATATATAGACCAAGAGGCATTTGTTTGAACAGGGCAATTGTATGGTTTGAAAACAGTAAGGGTGTGCTTCAGGGTTGCATCCTTTCACCATGCTTATTCTATCTTTATGCTAAGCAAATAATCTGAGAAACTGGACTGTATGAAGAAGAATGTGGCATCACAGTTGGAGGAAGAGTCGTTAACAACCTGTGATACGTGGATGACACAACCTTCCTTGCTGAAAGTGAAAAATACTTGAAGGACTTACTGATGAAGGTCAAAAATTGCACACCTCAGCATAAGGACAATAAAAATCCTCACAAGTGGACCCATAAACAACATCATCATAAATGGAGGAGAGACTGAAGTTGTCAAGGATTTCATTTTACTTGGATCCACAGTCAACAGTCATTGAAGCAGCAGTCAACAAATCAAACAACATATTGCTGTGAAAGAGCTCTTGAAAATTTTTAAGACATGAATATGGTACTTTGAAGGCTAAGGTGTGTGTAACTCAAGCCATGGTAGTTTCAGTCACCTTATATGCATGTGAAAGCTGGACAGTGGATAAGGAAGACTGAAGAAGAATTGATGTATTTGAATTGAAGTGTTGCCAAAGAATATTGAATGTACCATGAACCGCTAGAAGAACAAACAATTACGTCTCAGAGGAAGTACAGCCAGAATGTTCCTTAGAAGTGAGAATTGCCAGATTCATCTCTCGTACTTTGGTCGTGTTATCAGAAGGGACCAGTCCCTGGAGAAAGATACCATGCTTGGTAAAGTGGAGGGTCAGGGACAAAGAGAAGACCCTCAAGGAGGTGGATTGACACAGTGGCTACAACGATAGGATTAAGCATAGCAATGATTATAAGAATGCTGTAGGACCAGCCAGTGTTTCTGTCTGTTGTACATAGGATCAGTATGAGTCAGAACTGACTGGATACCACCTAACAATAACAACAGCAGTCCACACCTGATTCTATATGTCTATTCTTTCCAAAGTAAATTAATTTTCAGTGAAATAAACTCATTATTCTTTGATCAGTTTATGGATTACTTAATTAACTTACATAAGTACAGTAACAACTGAAGCTGTTAAAAGCAGTTTTGGACAAACCTCACTGACTGTTGGTATATGTAATTCTGGTAGGTGTAGAAGTATGCACGTTCACTAGAGAGTAGCCTGTAGTGAGCACAAAGCTCCAGCAGCCTACAGAAATAGACTAGTGTGTTTTAGAAAGGGAAAAAAGATCTAAGTCAGGGAATTGAGTTTCTACTGTGCTGTCATAATTCACCTACTGTGCCAGCTCCATCTTGTGCTTTGCAACCCCATTACTTATTCATCCTCTTGTTGCTGTCATCCTAACCCTCATTCACAAATGTGTATTTTCTGCCCATACCTCTTTTCCTGCCTAAAGGGCTTTCAAGTTGAAATTGAGGCATAGAATATTTTTGTCTCACCTTGTTCTTTAGAAAATCATTTTTCATGACTATTATGGCAAATTAAGAAACTAAGATTTCTAATGATTCTTTACATTTCAAAATATGAATGTATTTATAGAAAAAAGTTTATCTGAAATGTAGGTCAGTGCCATCAAATTATTTGTCACTTGAGAAAAATGAGTTTTCAGAGGGGCCTAAGTGATACTTACTGGTTCTTAGAGTAGTATGTGCCAAAACGAGGTAGAAGAACCACAGTCAGCTGACAGAGTTTTTAAAAACTGACTAGGAATTCTAAATGAAGGGAAAGCAAATATTTTGGGAAACCTGTCGTTTGTTTTTCTAGGTGGAACGTATAGATACAAAGGAATTTATTCAAATTTTCAGACAAAATTGAGTGTTTATCATTGATTACAGTCCTTTGTTTTATAGCAGTTCCATTTGCTTGTCATTTTTGAGCCTGACCTGGATTATAAAACACATTATATTCTACTTTTTACTATACCTTTTCCTTCTTAGCATCATATGTCTTGGTCTAAAGCAGTGTTGGCAGACTATAGCCCATGGCCTAAATCCTGCTGCTTCCTGTTTTTTAAAATAAGGTTTTATTAGAACATAGCCACATCCAACTGTTTATGTATTATTTTCTATGGCTGAAGATAATTCAGAAACACTTGAAGCAGTATATTGACAGGGAGCTACCAGAAATGCAAGCTGGATTCAGAAGAGGACATGGAATAAGGAATATCATTGTTGATGTAAAATTATCAGTGTTTTCACATTTGGTTGTACTGCATTATCAGTACTGCAAAAAATAATTTTATTTTCAAAAACAACTCTTAGACATTTCAGATGTAAATGTAGTAAAGTTACATGGTAAAGACTGAAAGTGACAGTACTTGAGAAATTTTTTTTAGCTACATTTCCACTGGTAAAAAAGGGTAATAACTGTATTTTGTCCAATTTTTCCTTCCCCTTTTTCGTTGTTTCTTACATGTTAAAGAACTTAAATAGTCACATTACTGATATATCAAAGTCTAAAATTAATTCCACGTTAATCCTTGTAACTCTTTCCTGCACCACCCCCGACCCCCAGGCTCCCATAAAACCAAACCAAACTCACTGCTGTCGAGTTGGATCCGACTCATAGTGTGACCCCTCCTTGGGTTTCCGAGGCAGTATCACTATGGAAGTAGATTGCCCAGTCTTCCTTTCAAGGGGTTCAAACCCACCAGCCTTCTGGTTAGCTGTCAAATGCCTCAGGCGCTACGTCACCAGAGCACCCGCACCCCACCCCCAGCTAAATGAAAGTACACATTAGCTTAGCAGATGATTTTTTCTTGTTTCTTTCTAAGAGTGATATTTAGGAAATTAATTTCTCGGGCCTAAAGTAAATGCCATTGTTGTCGTCTTTTCTCCATCAGCAGCCGCTGCTTACCTGTTTCAGAGACAACTTTCACCAACTCCAGGCTACCCCAGTCAGTATCAGCTTTATGCCATGGAGAACACAAGACAGACAATCCTAAACGATTACATTACCTCACAGCAGATGCAAGTTAACTTGCGCCCAGATGTAGCCAGAGGACTCTCCCCAAGAGAGCAGCAATTGGGTCTTCCATACCCAGCAACAAGAGGTATGCATCTTTGTAGTTCAGATTCTATAAAGTTTACTGTGTGTACCCACTGTTTCTTAGGCATTGTATTTTTGTTGAATGAATGATGGAAAGAAAGAAAAAAGTCATTTTCTTCTCTTTATAGCCTGTAGCCCTGGAAAGCAATCAAAAGCAGTATATTGAGATTATGGGGTGTTTGGGTAAAACTGAAATAACTAAACCAAATCAGTAAGCCAGTTATTTGAAATCAATGTTCCTACCATTTGCTGCCTCTCTTTAATCTGCCATAGTTTAAGGTTACTTTGGGCACAATCTTTAATATCCTTCTCTAAGTTTAAAGAAGGTCTTACAAAGTAATGGTGATCTTAAACATGTTATTTATATTGTGTATACAAATTATCATTGGGTTATAGAGATAGACTAAACCAAAACGCCTAGTATAATCCTGTAGTTTTAGGATAACATGTAAATCTAACATAGTTTTACTGTATTTGTCTTTTGAATAGGAATCATTGACCTGACCAATATGCCTCCAACAATTTTAGTGCCTCATCCAGGGGGTACAAGCACTCCTCCCATGGACAGAATCACTTATATTCCTGGTACACAGATTACTTTCCCTCCCAGACCATACAACTCTGCTTCTATGTCTCCAGGTAAAAGGCTACAATCACACACCTCTGTGATAGGACCAGTGTGCTCAAGTATTTATAATATAGTCTCTTAAGATATTTTAGATAGTTTTTCCCTAATGTCTACTCCCATTAGTCTGCTGTTTTTAACTTAACATTTAGTAATAATTCCTATATAGTATCTGCCACAAGATACCCTTGAATTATTGTAGAAATGTGTGTTTTGGTCTAGTTGTCATCCAAAACTCTTAATAAAGCAAACTTCAAACATCCCAATTTGGAGCTTTTTAAAAAATTCTCAATCACTTGAGCATGTAAAACCTGATAGGTTGATGGTGTTGTCTTTAAGTTGCAGATTTATGTGTTTTGTAGGACACCCTACACACCTTGCAGCAGCTGCAGGTGCTGAACGAGAACGTGAAAGAGAGCGGGAGAAAGAACGGGAAAGGGAGAGAGAGAGGGAGAGAGAGCGAGAGCGAATGGCTGCAGTTTCCTCAGACCTCTACCTTCGGTCAGGTGAGAAAAATGGATTTATTCATTTATACTATAAATATTTCTTAGTATTCTAGTATGAATATGTATTTTACTGAGTGATGTGGGTGCTACATCGACCCAGGTCTGAGGTCGCCAACAGAAGACACGAATCACACACAAGCAGTACTTGGAATGGTGCTTTACCCTCAGAGATAAGATAGCCATTCCCCCATGGCCAGCTAATTGCTTCCCATGGCTGACCTACAGGTGTTAAACACACACCCCTCCTGTGTCATGCAGATGTAGGGCTATATTCCTTCTTTGCCAGAACAAATAGAGAAATGGGGTCAGCCAGGTGCCATATAGCACCCATGCATGTGCAGGACAGAGAAAGTTACTGTGTGGCCAGAAAAGGGAGGGAGCCTTCCTGATAAGGAGAAGGAACTGGGAGGGAAACTCAATCCTACCTCCACTGTCATTGAATGCTCTGGGCCAAGACTCCTGATCAGGCACACCAGTGGGAGGCACAGAGGCCATGACACACCCTCATTCCAACAGTACATAGATAGGTCAGACATAAACTTTGACCTAAGAGAATTCATATCTAGTGTCAGAATGAGCTTAATGCCACAAATAAAAATTGTAAGACAGGATTTTCCATCATACTCATGCTCCTCCAGTTTGTAAATTGTTTATTAAATCATGAAAAAGTCAACAATTATATTAATGTTTTGAAGTAATTCAAAGATATATCTTTTTAACAGTTGTAACTAATCTACTTTGAGCCACCTAATTTTAGAAACAAAATTATATCCCTACGTGTGTATAGAATGACTGCTTGGAATAAACCTTAAGTTTTTTAAAATAGAAAAAATTTTAAGGCAGAAAATAGTTGTATGCCTTAAGTATAGTACACAGATAAAAGTGTTATAGATGTTGAGCATGTTGAAAGATGAATGTTGAACTAGAAAATGAAGTTTTCATGATGAAGGTATCATTTTACTTTGGCTCCAGCAGCTGGCTCTAGTTGGGCCCGAAGGTATCGGGTACAAAGGTACTAGATGCAGAGCTCTTAAAATCTGAAAGAGCAGCCTGAGCAAAGATTCAGATAGGAAGGTAAATGTGTTGTTGAGTTGTAGTTTAAAGGAAGAATGGAAATATCGTTAAAGGTTTGTGTGACATCTTCAGTCACAAATGAAGTGCTCCCATTCTGTTCAGTGGGCAAGTAATGTGATTAGATAGGCATTTACACAATAGTGGTATGAGATGGGTTAGAACCCTGAAGATGGGTGTGGGCCAGGAGGACAGTGAGACAATGGCAGTAGTTCATATGTGCTAATGATGGCCTGAAATATAGCAGTACTGGAAATCAGAATGGACAGAAAGAACTGCTGGGAAGAATATTGCCAAGGTAGACTCAAAGAGATGTAACAATAACTAGATATAGGGTGTGAATAAAAAGTGAGAAACAGGATTGTCCTGCATTTAAGATAGAGCAGGATTAGTGACAGCAAAGAGATTATAGTTTCCATTTTGGATATATAATCTGATGTCTTAGGAACATCTATTCTTACCCATGAAATACTTGC